TTCACCTGTTTTTCAGAGCTTCTGAAGGAAGCGAGTGTCAAAGCGCTGGCAGCTGGAAACCCACCCGTGGGAAGTGTCCGTATGTCCTCGGGGGATCCGTGTGCCGGATCTCTCCCCAGGACGCAGCGCGGCCATCCCCGGGCTGGGCAGCGGCCCTGCCCCGGCATGGGGCCACCTCAGCGAGAAAAAACACTCGGGGCCCGCTGAAACACGAGCGAACAGAGCCGGGAGCGGGCGGGCAGCCCGAAACTCGAGTGACCCAGCCTGACGGGGCTCTGGTCGAGGCGGCAGCGACTCCGCCGGGAGCGCAGCGGGGCCGGCGGGGAATCGTGCCCTCCGGTGGCCGCCGGCCGCACAGCCCGGCCCGGCCCGCGGAGCCGCCCCGCAGCCCCAGCCCGGCCCGCGGAGCCGAGCCCACCGCGCCCACCACGCCCGGCCCAGGTAGGGAGGCAATGACGGCAGATGCTCGTCAGCTTTTCCTTGGTTCTGTGAGCTGCCGCGGTAATAGTGAGGAAAAAAGAGGTGAAAGAAGACGAGAAACGCGTCCTGCTCTCATAACATTTTTATATTCATTCTGTCTGTTTGCTGTTGCTGAACAGAAATTTGTACCAGGGCACAGTGAGAGTTGCCAGCCTGTTTCCCCGTGTGCTTTCTACGCAGAGCAAATTACAGCATAAACTCCAGTGGGCAAAGCTGCTTGGTGGTCTCTCATCCCTTTTGAAGGGGTATGGTCCTGACCAGGTTTCACCTAGAATCCACAGGAATTAAAATACCTGGCTGTGGAAACTAGTAGGGAAACTTCAATTGATTTCAGTGGTCTTTGCCACATAAAGATAAAACCTCTCAGAAAACACACGACTGAAGGCTTCAGCATCAAAAACATGCAGGCAAGGCTGTCTCCAGGCATGCTTGGATGTAAGACATTGCTCAATATTCCAAGGAATCAGCAGCAGTGAGAGTTTTACCACAGTAAACAGCCTTTGTGACCTAAATTACATGTGTATGTGCTTGCTGTATGGGGAATACAGAACAGCCTTATTGTAATCCAACTATAATTTGTGTGTATGCACAATCTGTTTAACACACTGATGAGGGGCAGCATTGTAGTTGCTACCATCAGATCTTGAGCACATTAGTTCTTAAACTTCTGCACTGACTTATAAATGGGCAGACAAAATTGGGCCTTTCATTCATTCATTCATTTCTTTCTAGAAATCAAGGAAAGAATAAACCTTTTGACCTACTCCCCTCAAAAGCTGTGATGTTTCATGCTGGATAAGGCAGATACTGCTTGTCCCTTCCTGTGAGTGTCTCAACAGTTAATGGGTGCCTACAGAAGAGCTGGAATCAAGATGGGGCCATCCTTTACAGCTATTTCCCTGTGATCAACCACGACTACAATGACCATCACAGACCAACTTACTCCTCATTTCTTCCTACCAGGAGTTTGTCATTTATATATATTATTTTTATTTAGCTCTGTGTTCACAGCCATACCTGTAATCTAGATAGCTGCTTTACCAGTGCTGTAGCTTTCTGCAGAGGTGACAAAATGCTGGAGAGCTCTGGGTCCTTCCAGGGTTTCATGTAAGAGTTCATCCCACAACACATATTTTCCTGAGCTGGGGCCCAGGGAAGCTTGCAGGAATGGACCTGGAAATCTCTAGAAAGGCCAGGGATCTGTTTGCAGTTTTGCTTGCTACCACCAAAGAGTGAAACAGAGTTGAAATTCTGCCCAAGGAGTCAGGAGAGTTCTTACCTAAGCCATACTTATGCATAGAGAAAACCAGGACATGACATCCTTTATCCCATGCTTTAAAGTGGTCTGCAGAACTACCTTAGTGGCCTAGTGGAGGTTCAAGACAAATGGTTTAACACTGCATAACTAAAATACAATTATTATTTTAGTGTGAAATGCAAAAGCTCCACCTCAATCCCCATCAGAACTGTAGATTTCAAAATAAACCAGAATTTACTTGATTTTCTTTAATCTTTCTGCAGACTTCACTCCCCTTCTCTCCCGACATATATATGTGTTCACACTGAAAAAGATCAGCAGTAAACACATGCACACACAAGCACATCCTCACCTATAGACACACCAGTATGACTTTCCCTCTTGCACAGACCCCCAGATGCAACTTTCTGACACATCCACCCTCCTCCCAACACAGCTCCACACACTCCAGCACTAGGCAGGGTTGCTGCCTGCCAGCAGGCCTGGGGGATCCAGGCAGGCTCCCACAGCCAGCCCAGCCCAGCCCAAGTCCCCCAGGACAGATCATTGCCACCACAACTCATCTGGCCCCTGCACTCCTGTGTAGGTCTTGACAGTAACATCATGGGCTTATATGCCTTTGCTCTTGAGCCCATAATTTGGGAGTTGGAGATAAAACAAAAGCCAAAATGAAGAAAATGGGGGGGGGGGGGGGGGAGGGGTTTTTCTGTCCTCATTCATATGGCAGTGTGCTGGTCACATGTCCTGTTAAGCACTGCTGGTGGTTTTTGCTGCAGTTTACACAAAGAGTAGGTGACACTTAGTCCAGCCATCTACTATGGTCAACTACTCCTCTCTCCTCAACTCCATCCCTACATTTCCCCATGTTTTCTATTTTTGCAAACCATATAATACTATTTCCCCACCTATCCTTGACTCCTTCATACGCCCTGCTCTACGCACCCTCCTCCTGCCCCATGACAAGCAGCTGATATCCTGCATCCCATTCAAAGTTCAGGTTACCCAGACAAGTGGCACATCCTGCCAAATCAGCCCAGGAGGTGCTGCCCCTCCCTCCTTTCAGGCATCATCTCAGCAAGGTAATAGCTACCCAGGTTTGGTTTGCCCTGTGATGTTGTTTGGTTTTTTGGTGGTTTTTTGTTGGTTTTTTTTTTTTTTTTTCCATAAGAAGAATGAGGGAAGGATGGAAGGAAGGAAGGAAGGAAGGAAGGAAGGAAGGAAGGAAGGAAGGAAGGAAGGAAGGAAGGAAGGAAGGAAGGAAGGAAGGAAGGAAGGAAGGAAGGAAGGAAGGAAGGAAGGAAGGAAGGAAGGAAGGAAGGAAGGAAGGAAGGAAGGAAGGAAGGAAGGAAGGAAGGAAGGAAGGAAGGAAGGTCCCTAGAGCCACCTACAGATGCTCATCACTAGTGTTTCCAACATTTCTTCTTAATGGTACTGCTCAACACCCCAGAGGAGCAGTGAGGCTCCAGGTACAGAAAAAATTGTTGGTGAAAGGGAGGTGAAAGGAGAGCCAGCTCTTCTTACCTTGGGATCAGCAGCTGCTGCCAACACAAAAGAATCCCTGAAGCTCTCAGTGTTAAGCTGAATGAAGAGGCCTGTGATGGCAGAAGACACAGCAGGGACAAGCCAAAAGCCGGGAAAGCTGTGCAGGCTCACTGCGGGTCTGTGCGCGGCGTGCCTTCCCTTGCCGGCTAATGCGGTCCTTTTTTCCTCCCTGGTCCTTTTTCCAGTAGTTTCCCAAAAAGGAAGGTTTAGGGCAGACTGCTGTGTGCTCGCACCCCGGGATGGGAAGCCAAGAAGGAGAGCTCGCCGAGAGGGGCAGCGAACGGAGAAGGGTCGGGACAGCTCCGGCGGCGGCGGGTGCCGGATGGGCGGGCGGCTGCCCCTCGGCGGCGGCCGAGCAGGGTCCTGGCCCCTGGCAGCTCCCGGGATGAGACGCCTCAGCCCGGAGGAAAGGGAGTCAGTCCTCAGGCAGAGGAGAGAGACGACACTGTTTCCCGGAGAAGATGACAGCGCTCTTCCAGAAGCCTTGTTTTATTTAATGCCTGTCATTTATCGCTCCTCTGCCATTCCGCTCGCCCTCACACCTCAAACAAGCCGGGGAGGCTCTGCGTTGCCGGCGCTGCCCGCTCCGCTCCGCACCCGGCCGTGCCCGTCCAGGCGGTGGCTGCCAGGCCGGCAGCGGAGGAGCGCGGTCCCCACGCAGGGAGCAGAGAGAACTCTGCAAACCCCGTTTACTGATGGATGGCAATTTCTAGCTTTCCCTCACAGGCGTTCCCCGTTTGAATCTGAGCTGTTGTTAAAAAGACACACCACCTGCTCTGTGCTGCCAGCGAGCGGGGAATGAGGCACAAAGGCGGGGGATGGGAAGAAATAGCTTGGGCTGCAGACATAGAAGAGAAATTAAAATAAATAATCTCTTTTCCCAGGAAGTGCCGGATTCGGACGCCTCGTGGGAGAATGGACTGAAGTGAGTGGTCAGCACATACAGAGTGTGGGCAAAGAGGGTCTGTACACCCTCCCGTCTCCCGGTGTGCCAGGTTGGAGACGCGGATCCTCCCATTTTCTCTTAAGACGAGCTCAAGGACTGGTGCTTATGCATGTACGAAGCCAATGCTTGGTTTCCCGGCTGCTTCCACCTCTGAAGATGGCTTTCTCCGAGCGCAGTCCTCCAGCCCGGCAGGACGAGTCTGTGCCACCACCCCTCCCCAGCCCAGAAATGTGCGGCTCCCTCGGCAAGCCAGATCCCGGGGCGCTCAGTGATTGGGAAGTGCGGCGTGTGCTAAAGCGGGTCAAAATTAGGATGCGCCTGGATGCTGTCCCGCGGGTAATTCCCCTTTCCTTCTTTTCGCTAAAAGCCATGCCCGCTGCAGCGAGGAAAGCCCGAGAGGTGCGGGCTTTCCGCTGCCGCTCGGGTCGGTTGCCCCCAGCACAGGCACTGAGAGGCTCGCTGACCCCTCCGCAGCAGCGCACGGGGTGCTGGACACCCCCAAAACCTCCCGGGCCGGCCCTCAGCACCACCCCAAAGCCGAGCGCTAACAGGAGGAGTATGGGAGAGAAACCACCGAGAGGGAAACGGAGAAAGAGGTTGGGGTAAGGATGTATGTGCGTGCGTGTGGGGAAGCCAGATCACTTGTGAATGGCTTGAAAAAAAATAATTGGGGGAGGGCGTGGAGGGGGGGAAGCGGAAACTTTCCTATAAAACTCAGCAAAAGTCCCTCCTCTCCACGTCAGGCCAATGACACTGCTGCCCCCAAACTTTCCGCCAGCAGGAGCTATAAGAACCTCCAAGTCTTCAACTTTCTCCCAATCCCAGACACCTCGAAGGGGCTCCAAGGAGGGATCGGGAGAGATTTTTTTTTTTTGGTTGGCCTTTTTATTTTTTTCCTCTTGGATCCTGATGCCATCCCCCCTCCCCCCAAAGTGAGGTCCTCCCTCCTTCCTTCCCTCCTCCTTCTCCTCGCAGGCCAGCGAAGCAGCCGATCAAGGGGGAGCTGGCGGGTTAGGTGCCCCCCTCTTCTCCCTGCCCTCCCCCCCCTCCCGGCCCGCTTCTCGCGTCTCCCCCCAGAGATGATGCAGCAGGACGAGTCAAACTCTCCAGTCTCCCCCGCCGACGACAGCTTGAGCAACAGCGAAGAGGAGCCGGACCGGCAGCAGCTGCCCAACAACAAGAGAGGGGGGCGCAAGCGCCGCTCCAGCCGCCGCAGCGCCGGCGGCGCCGTCGGGGCCGCGGACGAGCCGTGCAGCCCGGCCCAAGGCAAGCGGGGCAAGAAGTGCGGGGCGGGCGGGGGCGGCGGGGGCGGCGGAAGCAGCAGCGGCGGCGGCAGCCCGCAGTCCTACGAGGAGCTGCAGACCCAGCGGGTCATGGCCAACGTGCGGGAGCGGCAGCGCACGCAGTCGTTGAACGAAGCCTTCGCCGCCCTGCGGAAGATCATCCCCACGCTGCCCTCGGACAAGCTGAGCAAGATCCAGACCCTCAAGCTGGCGGCCAGGTACATCGACTTCCTCTACCAGGTCTTACAGAGCGACGAGCTGGACTCCAAGATGGCAAGCTGCAGCTATGTGGCCCACGAGCGGCTCAGCTACGCTTTCTCGGTGTGGAGAATGGAGGGCGCCTGGTCCATGTCCGCATCCCACTAGCAGGCGGCGTCCCCCACCCGCATCCCCACGGCAGGAGCACTAGGTAAGACAGGGACCCCGAAACCGGAGGGAAGAAAGGGGGGGAGGGGGGCCAGTGGCCGCCGGCTGCGCCGTGAGCCGGACACCAGTGGCCGTGGGGCGAGAGGGCCCGCACCCCGCCCGGAGGGGCCTGGCTTCCCGGAGCAGCCGGAGAGCGGGGCGGCCGGAGGTGCCTCCCCCACTCCGGCTGTCCCTCCTCCTGCGCGGCCCGAGGTGCGCCCCGAGCCCGCGGGGCCCACGCGTGGCCGGGCGCTGCCGCCGGGGTGGGCTGCGGGCGGGACGCGGCGGCCGTGCGGGTGTGCCCCAGCCAGATGGGGCCGGCCTGAGATCACTTTTTCACCAAACGCTGCGGAGCCAGCAGGGCTGCTGGGATGGCTCCTGCTGCCGCCGCCGCCGCCGCCGCTGCTGCTCATATTTTGAAGTGAATCCATGTCCTCCCGTTGTGCTGCCCGATGAGGGTTTCCTACCGCCCCAGCAGTCCCTTTCCTCGGCCCTGACACCAGGGACCGCCAGGCTGGGGTGTCACCCGGTCACCGCACCGCCCGCAAGGCGAGTTCTCCCTTCTCCATTCCTGCCCGATACGCGTATTTCCAGAGACAGAGAGGTGTAGGTAGATGTTTGTGTAACTTTCGTTTCAGTAACGAGTTTTCCGCCCTTTCTGGGTTTTTGCAGATGACATTGTTCCCACAGAAGGAGAGAATGGACAATCTAGAGACTCTGAAGTTGGATACGATTTTTTTTTTTATCTTTTCTATCAAAAAATGTACCAAGGATTTCTTGGAAATTATAAGAGTAAAATCCAAATTCAAAGCAGGGCGTGGGGAGCACTTAAGAAAAGAGAAAGAGAGAAGGGCTTTGGACAGTGACTACCCTCTTGGCGTCGGTACAATCCACACATCTCTGCATTCTGATAGAAGTCTGAATCGTTCGATTTTTTTTTTTTTTTAATTTTGACGAAGAATGTTGGAATCGAACTTTTATTAGTTTGCCTTTTTTTGGGTTTTGGTTTTTTTTGGTTCTTTTTTTTTTTTTCTTCTTCATTCCCAAGAGGTCGTTCTTATGAGCCACTGATGAAAGGAAAAAGGAAATACATTATTGTGGACTTCTTCATTCTTGAATGAAACCAAGCAGCCAACCAAAAATATCCCTGTAGAGATTAAAACCTTTTTTATTTTTTTTTAATTTTTTTTAGGGGGGAATAAGCTGGGCTCAAGCTGTTATATACCCGGTTCCTAACTTTTTTATTATTATTATTTTTCCTCTGAGAAAAAAAATAAACATTTTATTTATTTATTGATGACCCATGTTAAAATGCAAATAGATCCGGTGTCTAAATGCATTCCTATTTTTATGATTGTTTTGTAAATATCATTGTATATTATTTTTCTGCAATAAATAAATATGATTGAAATTTTAATAACCTTAAAGTCTGGTCTCTCTGAGAACTCAGGGTTAGAACTGTAGATAAATACCTGCTTGTTGAGCTGTAAAGGCACCCAAGAGAGAGGGGGCACTAGTATAAACAAACCAGGCGAAAAACGCAAATAAACTAGCTACTGACAGACACAGGCACGTTATTTATTGAGACAGCTTTATTATTCTGTGCTGAAGCTCACTGCATCTGCAGAGGAAGGTGTTGTCTCTTCTCTCTTTCTGTCCCTCTCCCCCTTTAATCTTCACGCCAGGCACGGCGGAGTTGCGCGGGGAGCGGAGTTTTTACAGCAGAGCTCTATCCCGGCCTTCGTGTTTTGCCCCCAGATGTGAGGCAGGAGCGGGCCCCGTTCCCCAACCCCCGGGAGAGGTACTTTTGCTGATATCCCTGAGGAAGTGGCATCGGTTTTAAACAGGGATTCGTCCATCCAAAGGGAAAGCAAAAGAAAGTGAGATTGAAATAGGGAAGTGTGTAGCGAGTGGGGTTTTCCGGTGGAAGTGATGTTTGACTGCTCTGCTCTCTAGGGTTTTGTATAATATATATACTAGCCATCACATTTTCGTTGTGCAAAGCACGGAGTGATACTCTAACCCACCCTCTTCTTTTCTATGTGTAGGGCGCATATTGCCCCTCTTTCTTTTCACCATACTTTTCGCGGGGTCCCAGCATGCGGCGAGAACCCGAGCTGCAAAAGAGAGGGGACCTCCAGATCTGAGGGCTTGGAAGGAAGGTGAAAGGGAAGTTGTAAAAAAAAAAAAAAAACAAAAAAACAAAAAAAAAAACCCCAGAAAACAATCATACCCAAACCAAACCTCAGCCCTTATAACCGGACAGCTGATTGTCTCTGCTGTCACTCGCTTATCTCCCAGCGCTTGGCAGCCGGGCAGTGAGCGGGGAGCCGCACCTCCTGCTCCTCCGCGGCCGCGAAAGGTGCGCGGGGGCCGCTGCCGCCCCGGGAGCTGAGCAGTGCCCTCCGTGAAGACAGGGACTCTGCTGCCCAGTGTCTGGGGTAGATAGGATGGGGTACTTTTCCAAGACAGAGCCTGTTTGCATAACGCATGAGTTTACTTTATTCCCTGTATTTATTTCCACATGCACATACTGCAGTCTGTTACCCACATAGCACTATTATGAATATAATATTGATAATATTTTAAACCAGTGCGCAATGTTTACAGTAGAGAGTTCGCAGCGCTTGTTTGCACTGAAGGATTAGCGAGCACTTGAAAATTAGATGACGGCCCTGACGGCCGCAGCTCTCAATGGTGCAGAGGAGGGGAAGCAGCTGTGAGTTCCCGAAGGGTCGCTGCTTTTCCCCGGCACCCTGGCACTCGCAGCTGCCCTCTCAGAGACTCCGAACCCTCGGCTCCAATGCGACCGGCTGCCGAGGAGCAGGTAATGCCTGCCCGCGTTACCTCGGCCGCAGCAAAGGCGAGAGGCACGGGGAGCGGGCGCAGCTTTAGCAGCGAGGCTAAGGGAATTTGGGAGGTTCTAGAAGGTTTCGGTTGTTCGTTTTGGGGGAGAATTCACACAGGGGAAAGGTGGGGAAAACTCTTCACATTTAGAAAGAAAACAGGGAATGGAAAAACCAACCAACCAGAAGAGCTGCTCGGTGCCGAAGAGAAGGCGTGTTTCGTGGAAGGGGATTCCTATGAAATATGAACGAGGAATCAAGTGCACTTCAAAAGGCACGAATCAAACTGTGTTCGGTCTCAGAAATCGGAAGAGGCCCCGCTTGATGGACTTAAACCTAACTAGCTCTTTTGCAACCGGCAAGAGACCTCTGGGCCAGCCGGTGCAACACCTTTCCAGCTGAACACCCGAGTGAGAAAAATCCCCAATTCCTATCCGTGGGGCTCATGCCACCGGCAGGTCTTCCTTTCTCACTTCTGTGTCTCTCCGAGCGCGGGTCCCTGCCGAAGCGGCAGCATTCCTGGGCAGCAGGCACTCAGCCGGTGCTCTTTCCAGGCTGACAACCGCTACCTCTGCCTGATTAAAAAAAAAAAAAAATCATAAAAAAGAGATAAACCTGTTTTAAAACTCAGAGCGTACCCTTTCCTTGTTTAAAAGTGGGGACTGCAGATGCCTGGTGCTCCTCGGGCTAGAGCCAAAAACGATTAACTCAGCGTCAGGCTTACTGAAGGAAAAAAGAAATAATATGTATATTAATTTGCCTTCTGGGAATTTTAAACACTCTTGCAATCGGAAAATTAACTCTGCCTTTGGAAATCCTGATTGATTTCGCTTTTTTCTCGGAGGCATCAACCTGTCCCGTTTATTCGCAAGCTCAGAGGTCCGTCCGGGCCCGCGCGGCCGCCCGGTCGCACGGCCGCGGCCCCGGCGGAGCTGGCGGGGCGCGGAGCGGCGGTGCCGGCGCTGCGCCTCCTGCGGGGCGGCGGGCGGGGGGCGCCGGCCGCGGGCCCGAGCGCATTCCTGGGTTTGGCAGGGGCCGCCCCGCTGCTTTCTCCAAGCCGGTATCGGATTCCTCCCCGGCGTATGATTTCACTTGAAGTCCTGCCCAGGAGCCCTTCAAAGTGCGCTCTTGTCCCTCTCCCATGATGTCAGGCGGTTTTCCCTGCATCTGTAATTTTAAGAAAAACAAACAAACGCGCCTTGGGGATGTGGGGGGAAACGGAGGGAGAGGGCGGGGGCACAAAAGTCACAGAAAAGCGCAGGGAGAGAGGGACTCACCTGCGGCGGCGGCGGCAGCTCGGGCACCTGCCTCCCGGGGCGAGCCGCCGCAGGGCTCGGCGACTCCCGGGAACCGGCTCAGCTGCCGGCGCCGGTGCTCCCCCAGCCGCTCTCGGTGGCTGCATCAGCCCGGTTCACACGGCTCTCCCTTCACCTGCCCGCTCCGGCAGGCAGCAGACCCGCAGGGAGAGCGAGAGCGCTCCCGCCATAAATTAGCATCTTTGGGAAGCGGGTGGTGGTGGTGGTGACGGCAAATCCAATCCACCCCGTAAAGGGATCCGGGAGGCTAAAGCAAAAGAAAAAAAAAAAAGAGGCGCACACATCCACATCCCATCCGGACTTATTTATTTGCTGCACACATAACCTGCCCGCAGTAAACATGGCACAGGATGTATTTTACATTAACTTCTGCACCAGCTTCTTTCGACTTCAGTTCACTTAATGTTCTTGGCAAATCAAAGCACGTGTCCTTTGAAGAAGGTGTGTAATTGGAGTTTAAGGCATGTATGGAATTCCCAGATGTCTATAAAGTAAGAAGGAGCATTTGGCAGGTCACTTGAAGGTGGAGCAGGTTAAAATCACTTGTAGAAAAGTCCCCCTTTTCTTTTTTGAAAGCAAACAAGCCGGCCATTTATAAGGACCAAGTGACCGACATTGCGGGAGGCTTAGAACGGTTTTACAGAGCAAGAACAATAAAGCTGCGGAAACCTAATGATGGTGGTAATACCCGTTTTAAAATCCGAAATAAAACGCAAAGCAAAACTAAATATTCAGATCGGCAAAAAAGCTGTCCATTCTCTTAGTAATTCCTTGTCTCTTCCGCCCGCTCAGGAACGCTTACATTGTTCTTATCTACGTACTCGTCTTGTCTTGGTTAGCGGACACTTCTCCACTTTTTTTCATAAAGAGGTGACATTAAATTTGCAGAAACTTTGCAAAATTTCTCTTCTCCACTGTATGGACACGGGCAAGAAAATAAGTGTTTTACTCCAAAACAATTCAGACCAACCAAGCCGGGATAAAGACGACTACAAAGGTATCAGGAGCAATTAATAACAGCAGAAATAATAACGGAGTAGGTTTGGGACAATTAGATGATGATCATTTCACTTTGGGAGTATTATCAGCATTCGTACGAAATATTAGCCCCAGCAGACTATGGGTTCCTTTGGGGGGGGGAGAAGGGGGGGAGGGGAGGGAGTGGGAAGCAAATCCTCTTTGCTGGGCTGCAGAAATCCCAAAGCGAAATATTGCGGCGGGAAGAAGACCCGCTCTGCCCTCCTAATGCGGGGAAATCTGGAGATGGGAGGGGGCGACATGAGGAAGGATGCTCTTGGGAAGGGTCGGGGTCGCCCCCTCATGATTAGTGTTGCTTTGTTCTTTTCGGGCAGAGGCAGAGTCATTAAACAAGCAGTCAAGAAAGGAGCAACACACGCGACTGCAGCCGCGGAGGAAAGGAGGGCTGCAGAGGGGAAGGGATTTTGACATGTGAAAAGTTAAGCAGGTACCTGAAGGAGGTTTATTTTGACCAGATGTTAGAGCTTTTATGAAAATGTCACGTGAAGCGAACAGATGTACAACTTGCAAATAGAGCCCCGCCTTGTAAACACTAGGAAGAGAAAGGCTCACAGAAATTCAAGCACAAAACATTCCTCCTTTTTCTATATGTGTGTATTTGCATAGAAATGTGCAGTATGCAGGCTTTACTAAAACTGCTTTTTATTTGTTTGTGTAAAAAAAAAAAAAAAGAAAAGAAAAAAAGAAGCAGCTGTTTTGTCCAAGCTTGCCATCCTCTTCCAGTGCGCCTAACCAGTTTCCTTCCTTCCTTCCTTCCTTCCTTCCTTCCCCCTCTATCTCTTACTCTTGTTCTTTC